GTAAACTGATCTGCTGTTATATCCTCCTTTGATGTGAGTTTTCCTATCTGAAGTAAAACAATATTGTCCTAGTCCTACTAATGTATTTCAAACCTTTAAAGTTGAATTTAGTCAGTGCCTAGGAAATAACTGCAGATTGTTGCAAAAGGGCCAGTCTGTTTAATTCTCAGAGGTCTAATGAGGTTTATTTCACATATTGACCGTAAACTGAACTGTAACAGTGGGAAAGTCAAGTTTCATTGGTTGAAATAAAAGTGTTTATTTCTTGGACAACATGTTAGTAGATTAATATTTTAGTTAAAGGGATTTGCTGTACTGTATACCTGATTGTTGCACTGGTAAGAGTTATTCATTTGTTTTGCTTTGATTGGCACAGTCATTGATATTGTCCTGGTATTTTGAAAGTCAGTGTGCATACACATTGAAACTACAATAACAAAAAGAAGATGACTGCTCGTTGAGGGTTTTGTGGCTTAGGGGAGCCAATTTTAGGTTGATCTAAACTTAGTCAACTGTTTTAGGGAAAATGTTAAGAATTACCTATGTCAGATGAAACTTTTCAGCCTTGTACTGTTGTCTCTAGAGTTTAAATGATATTCTGCTTTGTCAGACCTAGCTTCGCCAACTTCTCTCTAGGTTGTTAAAACCTTGGACCAATATAAAACACATTTGAAAGCAGTTTACAGCCTTGTTTACAAATTAGTCTGGCATTCAGCATATGTGGAATAAACAGTGATTCAAGATGATATCTCTGTTGTCCACAAACACAATGTGGAGGAAAAAGTAAGTCATGTGTGGAAATGATCTAGCAAAATGCAGATTGTAAAAAAACACCGTAAAGATATAATTAAATATGCAGTTGAACAGGAGTGAAGAAAATAAAAAAGAGTGGAAAACAGAAAAAATAATAATAGAGTGGCGCCAAATTCCCAATATCACATGATAGTAGAAAAGACACCCCTTCTTTAAAACAGTTTGGAAGGAAACCTCTTTTGATACAAGAAGGATTTACTGGTCCAGTCTTTGAAATGTTTCTTGTTTGTTGAGTATGTAATGTTAAAATCCGGTTTTCAAATTTCTGCCTTGGCCGTGTCCTTAACTCCTAATAAATTAAAACAATACAGCCTGTGAAAGCTAATTTTGGCTCAGTGATGATGTTGTCAGTCCTGTGCTGCTTGAGTTGTGCATGCTGGGAGTTTGCCTGAGAACCAGGCCTCTGCACACATCATTAATTAGACCTTTCAATGCTTGTACACTTAGTGGTGTCTGCCAACTTAAAGCACTGGTTTGAGGAGTAACTACAGCATACTTGAGGAGTAATCACTGTGGAAGATTCTAAGCCATTTTAGACTCAGTGTTATTAGCCTGAGCGTTGAATACAGGAGCAGTTAAGTGTGATCTGTTAAAAAAATGATGGTCAATGAAATTTGAAGCTAAGGGTTATAGAATTCCTTACTGGACATAACCTTGGACACTATTTTGCTAATATACTACCCAGCTGTTGCTAAGGATATTAGAGTAATCGCTACATTAAGGAAAACAAACTCTGTATATTAAAATTTCATTTGGACACCTTTATTCAAAGTTATATCCTAACCATGCATATAATAAAAACAAACAAGTTTTTACTCCGTACTCTTTTCCTTAATTTAGAGATTATTTGACTGTGCCAGCAGTGTAGTGGTTAGACTTGCTACCTGGAAGCACTGGGGCTCTGGGTTCAATTCCAGCTGTGGGGTGCTCTCTGTGTGGAGTTTATATGTTCTCCCTGTTCGTGTGGGTTTTATCTGGGTGCACCAGTTTCCTCCCACTGTTCAAAAACACACTGGAAATTGGCTTCTGGGAGACGTGGCCCTGGTATGAGTGGGTGTGTGTCTGTGTGTGGCCTGTGATGGACCAGTGTCGTGTCCAGGGGGTGCCCAGTGTTTGCTTGGATAAGCTCTGGCTCCCTGTGACCCTGTATTGGAAGAAGTGGTTAGAACATACTTGGATGGGTGAATATCCATAGCAACGGTAGGAGAGCTGTTAAAAGCTGTATTTGTCTCATTTTCATTGGTCCTGATATTTTTAATAAGTCTGGATATTTTTATTTTTGATAAACTGGAGGAGTGGCCAGTTCATTAAACGAACCCCTCCAACCCACACACTCCACATTTTCACGATCAGTCTCCTCTAAGTAAGCGGGCAGTGGTTTGTTTTTAAGCCTTAATTTCCCCTTTGATATTTTGGAAAATGTAAGCGAGGCACAGTTATGCCAAGACTCGGAAATACATGTTGAATATTTAAAACAACAAGAAGGTATTAAATTTAATGAATCATTCAAGTGCTGGCAATGTCTCCTCATGAGTGAGTTATCCTCTGACTTCCAAATGTGTTTTGAATTTTGAACAATTTTACAGAACATTTAGGGGTGTCAGACCATTTGTTTAAAGTATCGTTAAAGTTAGTTTTCCCCCTCTTTGTGCACTCTAAACTAAAACTTAACAGGGAGATTTGCAGGACACTTCCACAAATTCCCAAACATTTGGATCATGGTATCATTGTACACAATCTGATTTTTGCAGGTGATTCGAAATATTACCAATTGAAACAATATTTAAGAAAGATTTAGATTATAGTAAGTTATTCGTTCCAATTTATTTTGAAGGTTTTCTTTTCTTATTTCCTGAAAAAAATGCATCCAGGGAACATCAGGTTTGGTGTGTAATTCCTTTCAGATCTTGGTAGGTCTTGCAAAAAAAAATTCAGTCAGAGATTTTTTCAACTTTCAAGGAGTTGCTGTCGGCAAACATTGAAACAAAATAAATTTGGGGTATGTGCTTAGAATGCTCCTCAACATTCCAAAGGTTTCTGAGGTGCCAGTGACAGAAGAAGATCTCTTGTGCATGTCCTGTGTAGCCACAGTCTGAGCAGATTCAGGGAGGGTACTGCTCAAACTGCCATGGTAGCTGAAAGCAAATGAAGCATGGCACACAGAAAATTGGAGACAGCAGGTCCTGGGACGTGCCTGGCAGTGTGGGAGAGCGCACGTTAAATGTAAGCCCACATGACAGAAATCAACTGCTGGCATCCAGATAAAATGCTAGTGTTCGCTCTTGAAGAACCATCTGGATCATTTGCAAGCAGGTTCCAGAATGCAAGTCTGGGATAACACATTTGCCAAGTCTACTGTTGCCCACAGCAAAGCCTCAGAAGGAGGCACAACAATAATCATGTCGATTGTGGAGCTACTTCCCATAGCAAACACTGCTGAGGACAACGCCTGCTTTTCTACTACATCGCATTCCTCAGAAATCATGGGAGATGTGGGCCATTTGCACTCTTGAGGTTTCGAAAGAAAACCTCAGTGTCCTTTAGTGTCCTCCAGGCATAGCCAGTAGAAAAGAAATAATGTGAGATGTAGAACAGATTTCTTACAGTGTACCTTGATATTCACTCCTCCAACCTTTAACTAATAATAACAGAGCTAATTACTAATGACTTGTAACAGCAGGGGTATGAAACCCTGATTGTGCAGTCTTCTAGGGTGCAGACTCTCAGACTCTCAGACTCTGAGAGTGGGTGAGAGCTCATGTGCACATTTGCTATAGATCACACAGTAAACGTTTCTGACTTTATAAGCACGCATGGGTGTCTATATGTGTGCTTCATTGAAGGGGTTTATTTTTATTAAAAAGAGGCCTTAGTCTAGACAGAGAGCTGAGAGTGTGTGATACAATAGGATAACAAACTCCTAGTACCAGTACATTTCCTGCAAGCTGAAGAATAATTAGTGATATGAGTTAAAAAAAAGTAGTGGATTCTACTCCAACACAGTTCCTGATTTTTAATTTTGTGTGTTGTTTTGTGAGGGTGTCTGCGTTTGTGTTGTGTTTATTTACAGAATAAGTTGCATACTGAGACTGTACACATTTATAGGGTCTGGACATAAACAGAAATACCTTGTCTTATGTGCTCTTACTGTCCTGTCAAGAAATAAGTGTGAAGCTAAGCTTGTACTGTATTTCTTGTAGCCAGCTTCGCACAAGCTGACAATTTGAGCTCCTATAGCAGAAGCACCTGAAAGAGAGCATTAGTTATTTATTTGTTGCACGCCCAACTACATCTAGGAAGAAAAAAATAATTTTAGGAATATACTTTCGAGTCTTGAGACACAATGCAGGCATCTCCATGTTAGGAATATTTTCCATTGTGGATAACTTTTTAATTACATCCAGCTGTGGAAGAAAAAAAAATGCATACCCCTTGCAAATAAGGAAGTGTTTTCACAACGGTTGCAAACATTCTGAGCCACAGAAATATCACCAACAAGATGTCCAATTTATATGTATGTAAATTTTAACACATATATGCACACGTCTGTGTCTTTAAGTGTGCTTGGTTTGATGGAACATGTTGGAGCTTATCACTGTCTAGCACTGCTAGGGAAATACTGTATTATCTGTTTGGTTCCCACTCATGAATCCATCCATTTTCCAACTACTTTTTCCAATTCAGAGTCATTGGAATCCGGGGTCTATCCTGGCAAGCGAGTGTACAGGTAGAGTACACCCTGGACAGGACACCAGTCCATCACAGGGCTGACAGACATGCACACACTCACACCAGGGACAATTTTCCCATTTAACCTACCAGTAAGGTTTTGGACTGTGGGAGGAAACTTGAGCACCCAGAGGCTCCATGTGAACACAGAGGCAACATACAAACTCCACACAGACAGCACCCTAGGTCTGGAATTGAACACTGGGCCAAGCACTGCGAGGCAGTAATCCTCATCACTGTACACCCATCCTGCTCTGTTCCCACTCATCCAGCAGATAAATTAACATCACACTGTAAATATTCTGTTGACATGACATCCGAAGGACAGAATATACACGTGAGAAAGCAATCAAGCTGAACAGGATAATGGATTGCATGTTTAAAATGACCACAAATGGACGTAAAGAGAGAGCAAGATGACCAGCTGTTACATTCATTTTATGTTTTTTTTTATTTAGGATTTGTGCAACTGTTGCATTTTGCCCCAGGATGTGGAAATGAGAAGATGATGGCTCAGTATTTTGTAAGCGCTGTTTATTGAAGTGAACAAATCTGTCTTTTTGTCTCTCTGGCCAAACATGAATAGGCCTCAAGATTATTTGACACAGAAACCTCTTTGTGTATCACTGATTAATCAATCGATTGATATATTTGTAAATTCCTGTCATCCATGCTTATCAATTTGAAACAGCTGGCTGACACATTAAACCCTGTCATTGCAAAAGTTTAAGAAATAGGGCTTGTGAGTAAAACCTGACTTGGCAGTTTTTGCTGGGCTGCTTAAAATACCAGCTCTCAATAAATTTACCATGGTAAAATTGTATGGTGCTATTTAACCATGATGCCATAGTTCTCCACTATATTTTGTACTCCTTAACCATGCTTGCAATAATAATGTATAGTAATAACACGATTTACTATGGGATATGTTTCTAAATCAGCATAGCATACAGCATGCTTCTGTAAGAGAAAGACACAGAGAAAGCATGACAAAGCATTGCAAACTACAGATATACTGGTAAAATGCGAGGTTACGGCGTGGCAGAATATTACAGAATAAAAAAATGATTCTCATGGATTTCTTGTTGGTCAATAAAACACCAGCCAGTTTATTTGATGTTTTTTTCCTGATTAATGAGGCACTATAAATAGCTCAGTGCAGGACTAATGTGGCAGCATGTTGTCAAGTTGTAGGGTGTAATAATGGTTGAAAAGGGAGCACTCCTATAAGTTACTCATTTTGATTAATGACAACTCATTCTATTAGGTTTGCTTAATACTGTACAGGTCTGGCTGGGCTTCTGTCGATGAATTTGCTCTATGTTTGCTTAAAAATATGAAATTGTATTTAATAAGGTACTATTTTTTTGACAAGTGTCTTTAATATTCCTGTTGAGTTTTTTTTTTTTTGGGGGGGGGAGCTTGAGGTTGTGAGCATCCCATTCTAAGTGTGAAATTCAGAGGTCTGATATTATAAAACACCTACCCCCAAAACATAGTGGTACAGTCCTGTTTTCTAAAACAACATCCATATACACATCTGAGCTTTGTGCATGAGCATCTCAGTCAGGCCATGCATAATATGTAAGCTACTCTGTGTTTATGTCTCCTCCATTTTAAACTTTATGTTATGTCAAATACAAACTAATGACTGCATCAGTTTGCAAAGTGTCCGAACCTTTTACATGTCTAGATTAGGGAAAGACACAGAATTCCTAGAAAAATAGATACATTGTGAGACAGTTCTGCTCACAAAAGCAAGATTTACTGTACGTCATTTACCTGACCACATTCCAAATTTTCTCAAATATGGGAGAACATTTCTCTCTCTGCTAAATTGTAATTTAGTTGAAACTGAACTTCTGATATAAGAAATTCTGTTAGAACATTTAAAAAGTATTTGCTGTATAAAGCTATACATTTGCTAATATGTTCCTTTAGGTAGTGCAGAAAACATGAAGATTGAACTAATGTAAAAAAAAAACATTGTTTACAATCAAAAATAGTAGCATTTTTCTTTCAGCATAAATTGTTTAAAACACATATTATGCGCAGTAAAAAGAGAAGTATTCTTGTTTTACATTTGTAGAAAATAATTAATATAAATGTATACTGGCCACATGCTACTTTGTCACAGAATACCAAATTACCAAATAATTTAAATGGTATTTGAAAGTTTAATTACAAACTAAGAAATCTCTGAGAATGACTAGCTAACTGCTTGAAAACGAATAAACAATTAAATTAAATGTTCAAGAATCGTTTCACATGAAAATGAAAAAATGATCCATGTAGAAACGTTTGGTATTCCAAGGTATGCATTAAAGCAAATTATTGAAAGTTATGAGCAAACAGTGTACTTCTGGAATATTTATATGTTCTTATGTTATAAATACCTTTTATTGATGTTGCTTTGATGCATTTGTGAACTTGGTGAAAAATATATAAAAAATATAACTTGAGATATCCAAAGTATATTTTTAAAAGGTATGAAACATTTTTTAAATGAAAGGAGATAGTACCTTTTCATAAGGCGATAACTCCATCATCTTAGATTAATAATACAAACAAACATGACTTTTTCATTATGCTTAACCAAGTTAACACTTGTGTTGTGTTAATCTATGATGAAATCATTTTCTTTGAGCATATATTATTGTCATACTTATCACACAGTTCTGTCATGTTGATTGTATCCTGGGTGATGTAATGCAGTATAATTTCAATTTTTTGCTCTTTTTTGTCCTGGAAAACCTCCTAAATGCAGAATATTTATTTTTCTTCCTTTTGCTAAATTTTACATTATTGGATTACACAATGTTACTTTCACCACAGAATAATATTAGAACATTTTTAATTAAAATTTCCTTGGATCAAACTGGCAGTTGAGCACTTTGCACTTTTGTGAGTAAAAACCTTAGCTTTTTTTAAAAAAAACAGGACTGTTTATGCATATCACCTTCACATCACAACAACTATGGTCACACAGCAGAAACATATTAATATAGTTCAAACATCCCAATCTTATTTCAACATTTAAATTAACTGAACCGTTTCTGTATAAAACACAGTTGTGTTACATATTTTAACAGACTGAGACATTTCCATACTACATCTTAGAAACGTATCCTGCTAACAACCTTTATAAGTTCTGTGATATTTATTAAAATACACAATTAAATCAATATTTGAAACTCTTTCATTAATCTTTGGTCTTTTTGTTTTCCATACTCCACTTTTAAGCTGGGTATGTTCTAAAAGTATCTCCATATTGCTTTACAGTCTAAAAGCAGATGTCAGTGTTCCCATGAAAGGTTCCAAATGTGGGGGACTTTGTGTAATGTTTGTGTAACTGTGCAGTTCATCATGGAATACATTGTCCTGTCAGATTGTTTCTATTGTGGATAGTTCTTAACTTTTCTGAAAACAAACATCAGCCTCAACACTTGGAAAGCAGAAGGATTCAAATTGAATTAAAGCTCATTTACAGTAAAGCAGAATAGGTGTTTATCGTTGTTACTACAAACATATGTTTGAGGTTGTCTCAGTAAAGCAGTGATGAATTCCCTCAACCCTTCAAGAAATGAGAGAAACATACTGTCTTGCAACGTGTAACATCTTCATATTAGTTACTGCTCATTTTATTGCTTTCTACTGTATAAAAAGCAGGAAAAGAGAGACTCTTTATTCTCCGCAGCTTCAGGGTGACATTTTATTTACACCCCTGACCAAAAGAATCTTATATACAGGAAATACTTGCAACTTCTAGTTTCTAGTCTTAAATGTGGGGAAGTTTATTTACTTACACGCACATTCCTGCTTTGCACACTTCTCTCCAAGATGTAGAGCTGAGGTTTAGCTGACCAAAACCCCAAGCTATATTTAGCCCATGCGTGTTTAAATAATTGGAGTGAAGAGAAAGGGGATTGTATCTGAACCATGTCTAGATGTCTGAAGATGTCTAGAGACCCTTAGATTTCAGGTTGTCTCCCAAATGGTTAGAGTCAACCCGAAAAACCCAACACAGGTTAGGTTTCAGGGATGGTTTCTATGTGACAGAATATTCCAGGGAGACATACATACAATATGATTTCATAAAGGTTTGTATTGTGAACTAGATTGCAAAGAGGAACATAAGATACTGCAGTTCCTGAAGAAACTGCTTACTAACCTTTCAGAATAAATGAGCACCCTTTTGTCCATCAATTAAAAATCTAGAAAAGGAATTTGTTCAATTGATTTGTTTACAAACGAGGCCATTTTGGAAACATTACTTTAAATAAATTATTTTAATGTAATTTTATCATGTATTATTTTTTAATGAGGAATTGCACCAGTCGTATCATTTCTAATTTCACATAAACAAACTATGTTTAAAAAAAGCAGGTTCAGCAAAGAAGATTTTAATTCAGACTTCACTTTCTATACATTCTGCTTTATCCAATGGCCTTTCCACCCTCTAACTCCATTCACCATTCCTGTTCAGGTTATAGCAAACCTTCAGGAGATAATTAAGACTGAAAAAGTGGTAGTTTAACAACTCCTGTTTGTTCTCAAGCAAAGCTAAATCAGAGGAGAGCAGCTTCAAATAATGAAGCTACTGTTCTTTGCGGGAAAGCAGTACTGAATTGTGTAGTATATACAGTGCATGGGCACCTATGCAGAATAGGCTTGCTAATTACAAATTAGGTGGATTCATAAAGCCTCACAAGGATTTTCTTTCAAAAGTAACTTCTTTTGAGTTGTTATAATAATTTTTGAAATAGCACGGCTGAGGTGTGTAGGTGAATGCTAAAGGTGTTTGGAAAAGTAATGTGTACAGTATTTTTCATTTTTAGCCCCTCCCCCAAATCATTTCGTGCCGGACGTACTTTCTTTCAGGAAGATAAAGATTGCAGGATTCATTTATTTTAGACAAGTGGTGCGTTTTTACTCACATGAGTGAGTGCACTGGGTAATTATGATGATCATATAAATAGAATAATTCAGCTACGTAAAACGATTTGTTTTAATCAAAATATTTTATTAGTGATATGAATCAAGAACAATTGGTATGTTAACATAAAGCATTATCTTTTTAAACAACATACACTTTGATTAACTAGAATTCTGTTGTACTTTAAAACACAGCATCAGCGTCGACGTACATCATAATATTTCAATAAGTAAGAATTCCTAAATGGCGCAGGACATAACAATAGGAAAAGTACTTATGCTTCCAACGTGTAAATGAAAAAGGTCTGGAACTCTAACCGAGTTGTGTTCAGACACATAGATAACGCACTTTCTACATAAGCAGTAAACAGAACAGAAGAGATTTCGCGTGAGATCGTGTATGAGGCAGCTAAAATATTTCTCAGAAGGATACACTGTACACATGTGCTCGGATTCGTTTTAAACGTGTTATTTAAAGACAGGCTTACGTCTGTGTGTCCAGTACTTCGACAAATACATTACA